GAAATTTCGGGTTGGTTTCAAAAAATAGAGAAATGTTTTTTCTATGTCGTGATTGTAGTTGAGGTATCTGAAGGCCATCTCTTGATATGACATGTAACAAAATTCTACATTTTGTCATTAAATCAAATGTTGGAACTTGCAATTGCTACTTCAAATTCAACTGTTTCGTAGAATACACGTTCCGCTACAATTGCAAATACCGCAGCTCACCTTTCTGTCTTTGATTGCTTATGCTCTCGGTATTTATCATTTGCATAAAATAGTGGTCGACCTTTAAATTACGCGCGCCCTAACTAGCTGATAAACAGTTGTAAAACAAAACTGTATTAAAATTTTAAGTTATTCATTCCTAAAAACATGTATCCGTTTAGATAATTCATTTTGAAATATTTTTATTTTGTTTGCACTTTAACAAAGATATTCATCGACTGTTGAAAACCGCAAGTCTTTACCGTGCCTTACTAGAAACTCAAACAGAACTCATAGCCCTTCAAAAATTTATATACAGGATCCGAAATCTCATTTTTCGAGAGGTCTAGTCCTCTACCACGACCTGTTTTCGAGTACTCGCCAAACCCCTCGAACGACTGTTTGCATCTCAATGGGTAGAAAGTTGTCACCTATCGCCCCACTAGCCACGTTGTCACAGTGTCTCTGTCTTCCTCGAAGGAAACCGGCTGACGAGACCCTTGAGAAAGGTCGAAACCGACCGTAGTTCTCCTGATTCTTTCGGAAATGAGGTCTGTTTGAGCCGCTAGTAACTAGTTGATAAGCGGTTGTAAAACTAAACTATTAAAATTACATCAAGCCGAGTTTCGCATTCCACACATAGTTTAAAAATGTCTTCAGAAATGACATCTAAGCAGAATCTTGATTTTTCATGCTTCGGCGGCAGATGCTGTTTATCTCAGAGCCGTGGGTCTCTTCGCTCCGGAGAGAAAAATGAATGCACGTCGGACGATGAATTTTTGAGAAAACCCAATTTTCTTTCTTGATCATGTTACAATAAAAATTGGAGGACTCGTCAACTCTGACTTAAAACTTTTCAGAAAATTAAGTGGAATGTTGATACATACCTGCAACATCTAGTACCATTATGAATGCACTTTTGTATGCGATGATTTGCCTGATCGGTGACATCTGAGTTACGGGAGATATCAAATGCATATCCTTTTCGAAAGCGGAATTTTGATATGATTTAATTTGCTTTTAGTATTTAAGAAAAGAAAGGGACATTTTTTCAAAGATTGCCGTGCTCAAGATAATCTTACTTCCTGCTATCGTTTCAACAGAAGCTTTCCATCTTTGTATATGATAATTAAACTCATCAAGCACATAAACATTATAATCATCACTGACTAACACGCTTTCTGGCATATATAATGCATAGTGATCAGAACCTCGTTTTCCGTGGATAGCTACTGCCGTTTCAGTTGTTTCATCCGATTTAAACTCTTCTTTTTGACGAGTATCGATATGAGATCACGGTGACTTACGGACCTAAGTAGCACTGTGAGCTCAACCCGGTGAAGGATACTGGTGTCACCTCAAGCAGTACGTAACGAAGCATAGTGATCAAACCTTCAATCGGATGATCGCCCTCATCGCCGATGCCAAAACGAGCTTCGAAGATCGCAATATTCATCTCAAGCTGGTTCGTCGCTTCTGGAGAACTCTGCAAGCCTACTGCGATGGACAGGACTACAAGCAAGTGCTCACCATGTTCTTCTCTGGACTCTGCAAGGAAAACATCATCTCTCACCACGTCGTGTCGAACTCCATCTGAACAATTAGTGTTAGTCTTCTACTTTCTGTTGTAGAACTTTGTGATTAGCTAGCTGTTTGTCTGTTTTCAACTGTATTTTTCTCTCCTGTTCATTCAAAATAAAGTCTTTCCCGTGGAAAACTCATCAAACTTATCACTCTTCTTCTTTTGATTCCTAACAAATCATCTGTAGCATGAAGGTTTTCCAGAGAACCTCTGGGGATCCTGTGTAGACTCTCCAAAGATCCTAAAAATGATGTGGCTAGATTTCTCATCACCTTTTACATATAGACTGTGTGTTTGAGAGTTCTGCGATCGAAAACGAGCAGTTAATCGAAAACGACTTGCCCGTTTTCGGTCGGTTTCGCTTCTGTTCCAATAAAAACGCCATATGTCAGGAACGGAAGCGAATCCTGGGAAAAGGATACGTAACTTTATACTCCGACTCACGGCGGATCGAATGGCGTCAAATCGAGGCTCTACCTCTTAACCTTGGGGACTTGATTGGTTTTTGGTGGGCGAATCAGCGGTTTTGGGTCCTTCCCTTTAGAGACCCACCAAAAATCCAGTCCTGCCTCAAATGACTTGAACTTACTTTCCTAGAATCAGTTTTTCAAGGCCAATCTGACGGTGAAACTTGCAGGGGTCTATTGTGAAGGGCGGCGAAATGGTGCGCGTTTCACTTGAAGGACGCGGTTTTTGACGTTTTTGACCCGTTTTAGTATTTTGCGAAACTGAAAATGAAGACAAGGGTTTTTTCAGATTCCAAGTACACCATTAAACCTAGGACACTTTTTTCTATCAGAATATGTGAAGAAGAGCCAATTCTGAGATAGTGCTGGAACTTTGAATTATGCACGCCTTATAATCATACATGTGTGTTTATTCGTTGTCTCAAGCTTTATTTCCACGACTGACTCATTCCCAGTTGCTTTCTTACTAAACTAACATGTCTGCATGTGTTCTGCTTGGTAGCCTTCCATATATGTCCTCGGGACTCATTCACTTAGTATCTCGTATCACCTACTTTGAAACTTAAAAAGCCATACCAAGCCAAGAAATCGCTACGTTGGTTTTTAGCCTTACAGCTAAAACGTTATTTCCATTAATCTAGGTTCTGTGCAAAATATAGCACAATGTCATAGAAACACCTTAGACTGAAGGCCAAAGATTGGTCTAAGTAACGCAAGTCATTGAAATCTCATTATTATTCATCAGCTATTGTTTAAGATGGATCAGTTTATTGACGTCCGGCAAAACTGAGACGTTTGTCCATCGAGATTCAAGTTTTTGCGCGAAACAACACGGGGTAGCTGTCTGCATAGCAGTGGACTCGGGTTTTGTCGGACGTTCTTGAATCGATGTATACTGATATATTCATTCACAGGTTTACTTGTACTCCGAACTGAATAATCACCCATGGAGAAACTACGCGTATTTTGATTACACCTCAATAACTGCCGAATAACCGGATCTTAAACGACGTGCTGTGCTCATACAACTCGCTCACCATTAATTCTGTGACATTCCACAGTCTATGCGATATTTCGAGTAATGCAAAGTGACAGTAAACATAAGAGCGCTCCTGTACAAGCTGTAAAGCTGGCTCGAAAAACGCGTATTCCAGCTGGCTTTTTAGTAGCTAAGCGTAAGCACTGAATAACGTACCTACGTTAATTAATATAGTTTCAGCTATCTTATTTAAATACAGCAGTTTCTTAACCCGGGGAGAGATTTTTTAACGATTAAAGGAAATGAGCCTTGACATACCAGTATATAGGTTGTTTCAAAGGAAGAAATGATAAGCGCGTAGGTGTGAATGAGTAAGATTTGAAAAGACTGCCGAAGGCAGGGTGGCTGGTTATTACCCCCAAAGTGTTCCCTACGAAGTAAATGTGCCAGCGCACTTACATCTTTTGTGTCTATAACCCAGGATCTGAAAAATCGCTGGAAGTTTAAATGAAATGGCACTTTCCAACCGGTGTTATTAATGATGGAGTCATTCATTTTCTTCTTCTCGATCCATTCCCCTTTCCACTGCTCTCTTGTTGAGTGAATAGGTGGAAAGGGGAATGGATCAATAAGCAGAAAAAGAACGACTTCACCATTAAAGGAGTATCAACATTTGTCTACAGAGCGAGAACATAAAATTTTCTGAACTAAACTTTTTATTATATATTCGGATTCAGCACAGCAGCTGCCGTAAGGAAAATTTTTTAGAAAGAGTTTTACCAAAAATCTGATCGAGTTATGGGCATTTTAAGAAGAGCGGGTCGAGAAATTCCGAAAAAAACGGTGTTTTGGATAATAATTCTATCGAATTTTGTTCAATCCTTTCTAGTGGCATTTCATATGAAAGAGTATCTAATTTTGGTGCAGTTTTGCCAAAGAAAATGGAATAAAATGGAAAAATGTGAATAGGTGTTACCAGCCGGGTTTCTTTCCAATTTTTCAAAAACTTAGTAACCTTTTGATTTTTTTTAAAAGTAGCCTATTTTGTAGAAAATTGAATTTCGTATAAGATTCAGGTAAGAAATCGCTGGTCAACTCATAAACGGCTTTGAAAAGCGGGAAATGTGTGGAAGGCACACATTTTCAAGACCTCGTTTTTTTTTCGAGTTATTTTACTAAAAATTTGAGTTTTTTATCAAACCGGTTTTCAAACACTTTTTCTGATGCCAGTGTTAGATACTCTTTCATCCGAAATTTCTCGACTCGCTCTTCTTAAAATGCCCATCACTCGATCAAATTTTCGGTAAAACTCTTTCTAAGAAATTTCTCTTACAACAGTTGGAAAAGCTGCTGGATTACAGTGCTGAATCCGAATATGTAATAAAAAGTTTAGTTCAGAAAATTTTACGTGTGAATAATACTTGATGCTATCATCACTCTCTTTTAATTCGCTCTTGTGGATTTTTTTCTTAAATGTGTACAATGCTTTTTTTGTAAAAATAATACCATTAAAAAATTTGGAAGAATTTAGAAGAGACTAGGGGAGAAATATACAAGAAATTCAAGTTGAAAACAACCAACCTCGCAGTTAAAGTGCTTTTTTTTAGTTGTTTTAAAAGAAACAAAGAGTGAAGAAGGTGGTTCGATCGAATGTTCGCTCATAAAAAAAGAACGAGAAGAAAAAAATATTGTGAAATGTATTACTAATGAAACAATAACAAAGAGAAATCTTATAATCCTTTTAACGAATACATTATCAAAAGGAACAGGAGAATAGAAGAGAGAGAGAGAGAGAGAGAGAGAGAGAGAGAGAGAGAGAGTACTTGAGAAAAATGCGTGTTGGAAAAAAACAAATAACTTATAGACAAAGAATGTGAGCTGGGAAGAAACAAGTTCAGCGGTGGTGGTGTGATTTCCCTGAAAAAAATGTGGCATCCGCTTTTTCGCTGCCTGCTTGCTGTTCATGTTCGAAGTCAACTCAATTACGACATCCAAAATTTCAGGTTTTATAGATAACTCGTGCCGACTGAAGCAACCCGCACATAAACTAACCGACAAAGTTGTTGTTTTCTACAGTTTAGGTGAGGAATACGTAATTGTTGAAGCTGGACCACTAAGAAGCTTTTTTTATAGGTTTTAAACGTTTCCGAAGTTTTGTTTTGTTTTTAGTCAGAATCACGCAAACGATTTTCAAATAAAAGAAAGTGAATTTGGCTACGTTCTAGTCCTCAGGGGTGCAAACTACGCAAATTCTATTCTGCAATCTTACATAGGAAATTTCAAAAGATTTCTGAGGTGAAATTACGCTTCCCAGAAAACTAGATTTGTTGTAGCGAACTAGCAGCTGTGGATGTTCTTTCACAAATACCATAAAAACGCTTTTGAAACTTGAGTGCACGTTGGTTTTCTCTATCATAACAGAATTTGTAGATAAGACGAAAAGAAGGACGAATGAATACAGAAAAACTACGGAAGTTTAAAAAACGGCTCTGCCGTGCAGGACCCCGAGATGGTATCTCATGACAACGTAAAAAAAAGGGACATAACCCACTTCGCTACATTTTGGTGTGTATTAATTTTCCTTTTTTTGAAAAGAATTATTACTGGTCATATCTGTAACGTTGCAGCTTAATGCTCGACTGTAACACTTCAAGAAGAAAAAAGCATATTGAATATATGACCCCAGCCCGCGAGCCGGTATAGAAAATCTAAATCGACAGTTCGATTCAGAATATTTTTCTCTTACTATACTGAAATGCTCAGCTCCGATTCTTTTATTTTATTTATAGAGCGCTCGTGTCTACGTACATTTATTTTATTCGTTTCTTACGCTAACCAATAGAAATCCAAGATGGCTGCCATGCCTAAAATTCTACGTAGAACGCTTGCTTCACTCAAAAATAATGACTAAAAGTGGCATTTCTTGCATAACAAGGTAACGCTCATCTCCACTCGCTCGATCCCTTGACTTTAATAACCTGGATCTGCGCTACTAAACGCGCTTCCGTGATTTTTAAATCGAAGACAATGCTCACGCCTCCCTTCGGTCGGCGCTCGCTGGGACCCTAACTAAGCTATCTTCTTGATGTTTTTCTGTTTTCATGTGCAAGGTTCGTAAATATACAAGGCAAAAAGTCCCAGAAGTCTAAAAATATTTCTGAACTCACAGCAATGCTCACGCCACCCTTCGGTCGGCGTTCGCAGCCATCATAGCTGAGAAACGCTGTGAACTTCTCTGCTTCCAAGGAAAAACCATCTAATGTAAATAAAGCTAAAAGGTTTTCTGGACACTCTTTACGGATCCTAACAAGATTGGAACTATTTTTAATCGATTCGCTATGACAGATTCTCTATACACTGTAAGTTACAGTATGCGTAGCCGATTTTCCTTGTATTATCACAGTTGACTGCTATCTGGCGACATCTAT